AAATTAAGGAATGGATGCTTATTGGTGTCATGTAAAGATGAGGCTCAACAAAAGAAAGCAATCAAAGTAAATAAAATAAATGGTAAAAAAGTGAAATGCTCTGAGGTCTATGACAGAAAACTTATAAGAGGAGTAATCACAGGCATACCGGTAAGTGAGTCATTAAACAACGTGATTGAAGGAATAACGAATGCTAAAATAAAAGAAGCTAAACGCTTAAAAACAAGATGGAACGGAGCCATATGTGACAGTCTTTCAATAATGCTGACATTTGATGAAACAAAACTACCTGACAAAGTCTTCATAGGATACATGAGCTATGAAGTGAAAATGTACATACCACCGCCTGTTAGGTGTTACAAATGCCAAAAATATGGTCATATTGCAGCGATCTGTAAAGGGAAAATGAGATGTAGCAAATGTAGTGGAGAACATGAGTATGGACAATGTGATAAGGAAGCAAAACTCAAATGTTGCAACTGTGGTGGAGAACATAGTTCAGCATACAGAGGGTGTGAGGTAAATAAAAGAATGCAAGAGATACAGAGAATAAAAGTCACTCAAGGTATATCTTATGCAGAAGCAACAAAGAAAGTTAGGCCTACAAGGGAACAGATGGGTCAGATGCCGACAATGAGAGAAGAAAGGAAAGACATGATTAAGTGTAAAAAATGTGATAAAATAAAGGAAGAAACACTGATTGTGGATAAAAATGAATTTGTTCTCTTTATGGCAGAGGTGATAAATTGCTCAGCACAGACAACAAGTCGGACGGAAAGGATTAAAATAATAGTTAAAGCCGCGGAAAAATACATGGGTATTAAAGGAATCCCTTGGGAATCAGTGAGAAACACGTTAAATGAAGAAGTTCAGCAACAACAGTCACAAGCATGGGGTGGAGTTGCATAATGGTAATATTTATACTGCAGTGGAATGCGAGGAGTTTAATATCTAATGGTCAGGAATTTAAGAAATATATAGATGATTTAAATGAAAAACCTGATATAGTGTGTGTACAAGAATCATGGTTAATATCAAGACTAGAATTTAATATTAAAGGCTATAATGCAGTAAGAATGGATAGGAAAATAGGTAAAGGTGGGGGAATTATTACATTTATAAAAAAAGGTATCCAATATAGAGAAGTAAAGAGAGGGAATGAACTAGAATATGTTATTGTGGAGGTATGGTCAAGTGAAGGTAATATTAAAATAATAAATTTTTATAACCCATGTAGATTGTTAGAGAGGGAACAGTTAGAAGAGATATGGGAGGGTATTAATGGAAAAACTATCTGGTGTGGAGATTTTAATGCACACAGTACATTATGGGGTAACAGAAATGATAATAATGGGAGAGTAATTGAAGAATTTATTGAAGAAGAAGAGCTAGTGTGCATTAATGACGGGACAGGAACTAGATTGAATACAGCAAGAGGCACAGAATCAGCAATAGATATTACAATAGTTACAAAAGATATTGCAGATAGGTGTGAATGGGAGGTATTAAGAGGTAACACAGTTGGAAGTGACCATTACCCAATCAAAACTCAAGTAGGAATAGAATGCGCAAAAGAAATTGAAGTGAGAGAGGAGAAATGGATTTTAGAAAGAGCAGATTGGGATAAATTTAGGGAAATCAGTGAAGATTTGTTGCAAAAGATTGAGGATAACTTAGATGTTGAAAATATGTGTAAAAGAATTAGTGGGGGAATAATTGAGGCAGCAAAAATGGCAATACCTAAATCAAAACCTAAAATAATTAATAAAATTGTTCCATGGTGGACAAAGGAGTGTAGAAAAGCTATAAAGGAGAGAAACAAAGCTTTTAAAAAAATGAAAACGACACACAACTTTCAAAATCTCATGAAATACAAACAAGCACAGGCAATAGTTAGGAAAATGGTTAAAAAATCAAAAAAAGAATATTGGAGACAATTTTGTGAGTCAATTGGTAGAACAACGCCAGTAGAGAGAGTATGGGGAATGATCAAAAAAATGAAAGGAAATGGAAAAGAATATGGATATCCAATGCTGATGGATGGGCAGAGGGTTATTATTAATAATAAAGAGAAAGCAGAAATTATAGCAAGAACATTAATTAAAGTACACAGCACAGACAATTTAAGCCAAGAGGAAAAAAGAGGGAGGGTGGAGACTTATGAAAGATATCAGTTTGATTTAGGGAAAGATGACGGGGATCAGGTACTAAATATAAATTTCTCAGGGACTGAGCTGAGTAGGGCATTAAAGAAATTAGGGAAAACGGCTCCAGGGAGAGATGGAATTTGTTATACTATGTTAGAAAACCTAACTGATAAAGGAAAGGAGGTGCTGTTGAAGTTGTATAACAAGATATGGGAGGTAGGAGTTATTCCAAAAGAATGGAAAAAAGCAGTTATCATTCCCATTAAAAAGCCTGGGAAAGATCCCAAACAGCCAACCAGTTATAGACCAATAGCCCTAACATCGCATATTGGAAAAACGATGGAAAGAATGATTAATGACAGATTAGTGTACTGGGTTGAAACTAAAAGAAAGATAGGAAATTATCAAAGTGGATTTAGGAAAGGTAGAGGGACAATGGATCCAATATTGAGGCTTGAAGATGATATTAAAAAAGCACAGGTTAACAGGGAATCAGTAATAGCGGTGTTTTTAGACATAGAGAAAGCATATGACATGTTGTGGAGAGATGGAGTGTTAATTAAACTTAACCAAATAGGAGTTAAAGGACGCATATTGAGATGGGTTAAAGAATTTTTATCAGAAAGATCCATAACAGTTAAAATAAATGGTACATTTAGTGAATGTTACAGAGTTGAAAATGGCACACCACAAGGGAGCATTATTAGCCCTTTTTTGTTTTCTATAATGTTTGATGGGATCTTTAAGGAGATAGAAAATAATACAGGAGTTGCATTATTTGCTGATGATGGTGCGATTTGGAAAAGAGGGAGAAACATAACATTTATAATGAAGAAAATGCAACAGATATTAAATACAGTGCAGGAATGGACAGTTAAGTGGGGATTTAGAATATCTCAAGAAAAAACTAAAGCCATGTTATTTACCAAAAAGAAAATAAGAGAGGATTTAAAATTGAAATTGGGAGGTAAAGATTTGGAGAATGTTGAATCTTTTAAATATCTGGGATTGTGGTTTGATAGGAGACTTACATGGAACACACATATTAGTAAAATGGTGGATAAATGTAAAAGAGTGTTAAATGTAATGAGGTGCCTATGTGGTGTAGACTGGGGTGCTAGTAGAGTGGCATTAAAAACAGTTTATACAGGGTTGATAAGATCAGTGATCGATTATGGATGTATGGTGTATGGATCAGCTGCTAATACAACATTAAAACAGCTAGATGTAATCCAAAATCAAGCATTAAGAGTATGCTGTGGAGCCATGAAAACCACACCGGTAGCAGCATTACAGGTTGAAATGGGAGAGATGCCTCTACACCTTAGGAGAGATCAGCTGGAGGTAGTATACTGGGCGAACTTGAAAGGCCATAATGAAAATCACATAGCACAGACAGTTCTGATGCAATGCCAAGAACGAGAGAAACGGGGCATTAAAGGGTATGGATGGACAATACAACAAAAAATAAATGATATGGAAATAGATACAATAAAAATTTCGCCCACTATAGTATTTCCAGTAGTTCCCACATGGCTGCTTGATGACTTGGAAGTTGATTTTGAAATAATGAAAGAAAAACAAGAAAATGAGATTGACAGCAAACAAGTGGAAAATTATATAAGAGAAAAATACAGTGAAACAACTGAAATATACACAGATGCATCAAGAATTGGACAAAGGGTAGGAGTGTCATTCAGTATTCCAAAGTTAAAAATTGAAGTTACAAAAAGAATTAATAACAATTTAGCAGTTTATACAGCAGAATTGGTAGCGATATGGTTGGCTCTAAAGTGGGTAGAGGACAATAAACCAATTAAAGCAGTCATTGCGTCTGATTCAAGTTCAGCACTCATAAGTATTAAAAATGTAGTATCAGAATCACGGCAGGACATAATATATGAAATAGTACAGTTGGGAAATAATATCATTAAATCAGGAGTTATCATTTCATTATTGTGGGTACCAGCGCACATAGGGGTTAGTGGAAATGAGATGGCAGACAAGTTGGCTAAACAAGCAGCACAGCAAACTATGATAGACATGGACATCAAATACAGCAAGTCAGAAATCAAAAGTATAGTTAAAACCAAAATATTAGGAAAATGGCAACATATATGGAATAATGGGAGTACAGGACGTCAATATTACACCATACAGAACATAGTTGGGAAAGGTAGGGAAACAAGGAAAAACAAAAAGGAAGAAGACAAGTTCTCAAGAATGAGATTTAATCACACATCACTCAATAGCACACTACATATGATCAACAAACATGCAGATGGGATGTGTGAATGTAACAACCAGGAAACTGTAGAACATGTATTAATGCACTGCCCAATATATCAGACAGAAAGAAATATATTATTCACACAGTTACAGGAAAAACAAGTGGAACCTAACATAAAGAACATACTAAAGTTGAGCACGGGTGATGTATGTTTTAGATATGTTTATAACTATTTGAAAGAAACAGGGTTGATTAATAGAATTTAGTATTTAGATGAATAGTTATCTATATCATATAGAGGTATTATAGAGAAAGAAATATCAAAGTTTGGGACATTTAGTAATTTATTTATATGTATAGGAAAATAATAAAAAATTTTATTTGTAATATTTTATTTATTTTTTTATTTTTTATTTTTTTATGGTTGGGCTTTGTTTAACTATAAAACGTGGTTAGTTAACTCCGGATCCACACTCCAATCCAGATGGTGGCGGTAATGCACCAAAAGCTGGTTGCCAACCGCCATAAAACACACAAGAAGAAGAAGAAGAAGAAGATGAAGCGGTAGGCGTGGCATCCGTGAAGTCTGTGCAATGCCTGCTGGTAAATGTAGTCGTCGAAGGAGTAAAAATGGTGGATTTCCAACCTCCCCCGCTCAGAACCTTGGACGATTTTCTGCTAAGTTCGGCTCGATTTTCACTGCCTGATGTTCGTAACCTAGATCGATGGAATAACCGGATCATAAACAATCTGCTATACTATCAATCGAACTATTTTGCCACCGCATCAGCCTTTCTGGTTATAGTCGGGTAAGGAAAACAGTGACGTGTTCTTTCATTCAAAGCGTATTTGGTAGTATTTAGTATTCCTCTGTTTTAAATGTATTGTTTTTAAACTTCTCTGTTTATGAATCACATTAGTGTGACGCAATTCAAAGGATTAGATTGTAGTTTTACGTTTTTCTTTTTGGGGGTTTCAAGATCACATTTAGCCATAACAGCATATTGTTTATGATCCCTTGCCTATAAGTTAAATGCCCTACGTTTTATAAATACGCCATATAAGTTAAACCACGTGATTTAAAGCTACATTCTCATATACTCAGTTAAAGTACTGAGTTAAATTAGTGATAGCTTGCTCTCTATTTATCATATAGGTGTTTGGCTCTGGACAAAAATATTTTATACACTTGATGGGTAAGTTACACTTGGTTTATTAAATAAGAATATAACCGAAGAAATAAGACGTTCTTATTCAGCAACTTCACAAAGCAACTATTATAACATGTTGTATTGCTGATGATGAAAATGTAGTCCATAACTTGCAACAACAAAGCTGATTAATCACCTTAAACCTTGATTTCGATCACCATAATATTTGAAAGCTTTTTAATCTGCATCAACATATTTAAAAAACAAATCAACAATTTAATACTTTTTGTGTCTTTAATTTTGCTTTAAAAACAACTATATATATATATATATATATATATATATATATATATATATATATATATATATGTATGTGTGTATATATATATATATATATATATATATATATATATGTATATGTATGTGTGTGTGTGTCTATATATATATATATATATATATATATATATATATATATATATATATATATATATTTTGTATGCCTCGTATGTAGGTTTCATATTACAACAAAAGTTATTTTCAGTCAGAATTTTACAACAGTATTTAAAAAAAAAAAAGACAGATTTGGTTGCAATTTTATACATAGACCTGATATTGCTGCATGATTAATCAACATAACATCACATTTGTCAGGGTTGTGTGATCATAAGTAAATCTCCACCAAAGGGCCTCTGAGACCGAACCTCCAAATATGCCCCAAAAAATCCCAGGAAAACCCTATAGTGGTTGGTAAATAAATAGAAGATTTAACTGCTTTTGTTAATTCATCACAATTAATAAATGTAAAGTTAGCAGCATTTATTTTAAAAGACGTAGTTGACTGCAGAAGCTTAGCAAACAGCTGTCAATATCACACACAATTATTATTTTCAATTTGAAAATTGCATGATTATATTATACTGCACGCTGAACGTCCAAGCCTAATAAACCCAAAAGGACAGCATCATCATCTACAGTACAGAGACAGTACTCCTATATTCACAGAGCACTCTTTTGCCACAATGGACACATGGACCAGTCGGGCAAGGTCACACTAACCCTCAAGCACCCTAGCGAGGGTCTTCATGTTAGCTGTTTTTTCTTGTGCTTCTCATCACCTTTGACTTGGGCCTTTTTTAATATCACTCTATCACATATTAACTTTGTGCCTGCTAGGGCTATGTTACGGCAGCAAAGTTTCTTGATTATTATTGTGGAACGAGAGAATAGTTCCTTGAAATCTGCAATATCCATATGATCTTTCAGGAATTAATTATTTGAAAAGCATAAACCATTTCTTATTAGTGAGTTCTGCTGTTTCATGTTTTATTGTTTGTTTAGATGTGTGTAAAGCTCTATTATACTACCATCATTTTTTATTTATTTAGCCAAGACATAAATCGATCAGTTTTTTGTTGTTATTTTGAATCATATTTCTATTCATCTAGAATCCTAAACAGTTATATTTATTTTGTCAATAACTTTATTCATATTTTAATCAAAATAAGAACAATTATTAATGATTGAGTACTAATAGCAGCTGATCATAAAAGATCAGTTTAACATGAAACTTTCAATATCATTTACTGAAGACTGGAGGAATGATGCTGAAAATAGATTAAAAAAAATAAAAATAAATAAATGTTCAATTTAAATCACATTGCACGATAATACCATATTTTTCTCTTCTTTTTCCTATTTTGTAAATGTAGTTTTGGCGAGCAGAAGAGACTTTCAAAAACATTAACAAATCTAAGGGATAGTTCACTCAAAAAGAAAATCTATCCATATAATGTAATTTACTCATTCTCCACTTCTAAAAACAGTTTATTTCTTCTGTTGAATACAAAAGATGAAATTTTGAAAAGCTTGGAAACATTCTACATAGTGTGTTTTTTCTTACTATGGATGTCAATGACTAGAGGTTCTAATACAGTCTATTGTATGCATTTGGCTTGGGCGGTATCCAAATTTTGATACCGTCAAACCGCCTCCATATTTTACCCCGGTATCCAGTATTACCGGCGTAATAAAAAAAAAATGACGTAAGGCTCAGACAGCGTCACCAAACTGTTGGCTAGAGCCTAAACCATTCAGAAACTGAACGCCTTCTATGCGACCTTAAGCAGGTCGCACACCAGAAGCGCCGCTTGGTGGCGTGCCACGCAGCACCATGCATTTTAGAATTCTAAAGTCGGCGACGACGGCTCAGGACGCAGTTCATTTTTCAGCCGCGCCACAGAGCGCCATCTGATTAGTTTCATGTTAAATATCATTCGAATGTGCGCGTCTGGTGTGTGATACTTTAAACTGTCATGTGCGCACCGTGTCGCGGCGCTTCTGGTGTGCGACCTGCTTTAGGCTGGCGGTCAGAGAGGAGAGAGAGAGAGCTGCGGAGCACCTCTCTCTCGCTCTCACACACACAAACACACACACATCTCTCCCGCGATTTATTCAGAAATTTACTCCCACACTGTAAGAAATCTGTCCGGCTCCCGCGGAACAGCAGCAGGAATGCAGAGAGCTGTCTGGCCATAAAAATTATACCCGATAGGTCCCGAGTCCGACAGGTACATTTTGATTGACAGCTTCATAAAGCCCGAACCAGTTTACAGCCCGACATTATTCAAATGTGCTCATGCACAGCTCTAATGCATTTTTTCAAGAATTAGTCATTTATATGTTTTTACATCATTTATTCATAACAAACGTAGACTATATGCCACTTGGAAGTTGGAACATAGAAATAAAATAAGTCCTCTGTAACATCGTAACATCTCAGCACTCTATAGGCCTGGGTACATGCACTTAGCCTTTAAATTGGCCAACACACCAATGAAAAGAAATATTGTTTAACAAATCAAATTAATATAAACTCTAAATGATGACGGGTATTTTGGCAATAACGAAATTAAGATAAAGGCTCTGCAAGATTTGTTTCTCCACTTCTCTTCACAATCTGGCATTAGGGCGGCGGTGAAGCTTAATATTAAAAGAATAATGCCACCATTAGCCTGTATACTCTGTCTACATTATGATTATATGGTTTAATTAATATTGATTTATAATTTAAAAACCCTTTACTCACCAAGATTAGGCTACGTGTGTTTGTGGAGGAACATTATTAAATCCACTGGCTTTAGCGCAGTCTCTCACTCATGGTGCGTCCAGCAGAACTAAACACCCTTTCCTGCGGCTACAGGCCGAGATGCAGAGTTCTGGTCTGGCTGATTTTGCAAGTTTTGGGTAGGATTGTTTGTTCATCATCTACCAGTCAGGAACATCCATTTAATTTTCCATGACAGCAGTTTCAGTGTAGCGAGAGGCCTCGTCATTTTACCTGTCAGCTTGCGGTTTAGGGCTCTACCGTAATACGCAGTGTATGAGCGACCGCCAAATACCTGCTGCTGGAATAACCGCTCCTGAGCTAGTGACTGACTTGACCGCCGTCAAAATTCGCTTTTTTTACTACTTCGTCATTATTTGCTTCACCTTTGAAGGGATGGATTTTAATGCAGGTATTTGGATTTTTTCGGGTCTCGCCGGGTTCGGGCAAAGATCTTCAGCTCTAATGCAGACCTCTCGTTCATATTAACCACGTCTCCCTTCAGTTCAGTCGAAACTGCCAAACTGCAGGTCACTTTGGAGCGCAACTCGTCACGTCAACTCTCCCTGTCCCTCTCTCCCCCTCCCTCTCTCTCTCCTCCACACTGTCCCGTGATGACAACCACACATACGTTTTTGTAGGCATTAAATAAAGGATATTTAATATTTTATGATGGTATAACGTTATTGAAACTCACACCGTTGCTATTTTTAGATCCCGCTGTATACCATAATACCGTAACACCGCCCAAGCCTAGTATGCATTTGTTGTGGATGTCAATGGCACATCATTTGAGTCATTTGTATTTTTACATGCTGTCACATGATTAACCAATGACTCAAAAATCAGAGGACTTGTTTACACTAATGCGTTTTAGTTTTAAAACATTGTTTTAGAATGAAAACGAATAACGTCCACACTGGCTTTTCACCTAGCGTTTGTGAACAGCTCTCTGTCCACACTATATTGCTGAAAGTGCACATCACGTGACCACACACACTCTGGCATGCACTGCGGCTTATGCACAAGTCTGAGCTCCAGGCAGTCAGCAGGTCCTTTGAGCACATCTACCCAGATAAGAGCTGTGCATCTACCTTTGGATCTAATCTAACTATATTTGTTAAACGTGATATTTAATTAATTTTGTTTTCTATGCCTAACGACATATTCTGTGCCTTTGGTTTATTTAAATGAATAGAATTTTACAATGACCATTGTTGATTATTGAAACTGATACTCGGCAAAAGAGAGGGTATGTTTCGTATTTTCAATAAAAATGAAAAGAGGCAGTAATGTTATAGGCTCAGTTTTGTTATGAATATGCATACAGTGAAGATGACGGTCATAGGCTATAAATGTGTATCTACACTAAGCCTCAACATTTTTGGTGTCTGTTAAGTTGCTAATATCAAAATGAAAATAGGTAGTTCCTTATGTCATGTTTTTGTTTTATTGTTAAGAAAGTGAAACAATGTAGCCAGGGTGATGCGAATGACGTTATAAAGTACACTGTTCCCTTTGAAGAATTACCTGTTGTGTCTTTGTGAGTTTGTTTACTAAACTTGCGAAGTCTGACCTTACAAGGAGACTGAACTTTGTGTAGGCTACTTAATATTGAGGAAAAAGCCCCAACCAGCGAATGTCTGTGTAACCCCGTGACCTTCTGCATGGGAGTCGGTTGCTCTACCAAGGAGGCTAAAGACCATGGCCTAGAGCACCTTTTAGAGGTCAGAGGAGTGAGCTTTACCTGCACAGTACCTACTAGCTGGCCTCCGTTACGCTTACTCCCCTAAACCTCACTCCCATCCGGGTCCCAACACCAATGTAACCCCGCCGGTCCTACATCACCCAAACCGCTCTGAGCTGGTATTGAACCGGCGACCTTCCACATGGGAGTTGGTTGCTCTACCAAGGAGGCTAAAGACCATGGCCTCTAGTGTCTGTCACTAGAGCACCTTTAGAGGTCAAAGGAGTGAGGCTTACCTGCACAGCACTTACTAGCTGGCCTCGGTTACATCTGTTTTAAGATGTCTCCGTTTTCCCCCATCCACATTAACATGGAGCAGCAGTCTTATAAAATGAAAACGGCCTCTTCAGCGATTAAAAAAAAAAAACAGTTTTTGGTGCTCAAAAACTCTGGCGTAGTGTGGACGGATGGCATAACTGTAGCAAAACTTATGCGTTTTAAAACTAAAACGTGTAAGCGGGGCCTCAAAATTGAACTAATCATGGGTCCTTTTGGCCGTCAGTGTGTTAAGTTTTTATGGGACTGCCTGTGTCATGTGAACGACTCAAACTTGTAGACTTGTCAGAAGAGGTGAGACAAAATAATCATAGTCAGAAGACACAGGTGGACAATTAATGATTGCTTTCTCTTTCTTATTCGTAACTTGTTTGTAGTGTGAGCCAACATTTGGGCTATTTAAGCAACATTTGAATAATATTTTGGAAAATGTAAAAAAATGATTCGAAAAAAGATGTTCATCTCATTTCCATTCATATGCATGCGAATGTGGCAGACCAGAAACGCAAGCTCGTGTGACAATTTTCGCATTTTGATGCGTTGCAAAGTTCAAGCATGGTGAACTCTGTCCAGCGAAATTGCATCACATGACTGCGCAAGACCAATTGAACACCAAAACATGACCTCTCTGAACAAATTTAAAACATGGGCTAATCGCTTGCTTTTAAACGTTGTAAACTGCCCCTTTTCGCAGCAGTTTACAACGTTGCATTAAATTTAGTTCAGTCTGCTGCTAAATCTACAATGCAGATGAAATGCATCTCCATTCCATTTTGGTAGCAATATTTAGTCAAAGCTCCTGGTTTAAATACTGGATGACAAACAACACAGGCTCCTAGCTTCTGAATACAAAAAAAAGTTACTTGCTAATATTATATATAGCATGTATTAAATGGGGAATTTTCTTAAAAGTGCTATGCATGATGTCATTGATCTTTATGTATTAATTTTAATTTTATAATCTTAATGTATTAATGTGTGTAATTGTGTCATAGGTATTTCCAAACACTTAAGCTGATACTTGGAGCAGCAGTTGTCATCATTGTGTTCTTGGGATTTGTCTGGGCAGCTGAAAACAAGGCAGTAATCCGACGATTCCGGAGGAATCATCCATCTCTCTCCCTAGCTGCAATTTTGGGCTCCAGCTACCTTTTCTTGTCTGTTTTAGGAGGGGTGGCTGTTTTCCTCGTTGGCATTGCTTTTCCCATATTAAGTAAGTCATTTTGTTTAACTTGCTTATAGAACAGTGTTTCTCAACCATGTTCCTGGAGGACCAATAACAGTGCATGTTTTGGATGTCTCCTTTGTCTGTCAAACCCTTTACAGGTCTTTCAGTCTTTGCTTATGAGCTGATGATCTGAATCAGGTGTGTTTGGTTAAAGAGACATGAGCTGCGTCCCAAATGGCACTCTATGCACTCATGCACTATGTACTTATGCACTTACACACTCAACAGGATAGTATATGTAGTGTTGTTCCAAATGGCACACTAATATTTTTTTACTAAGCGGAAATTCAAACTGTTTCCCTGATGACGTTTGACGGTTGCCAAATCAGTGAAATGAACAACTTATCAAATAATTAAAAAATTATCAAATAATACCTACCATGAGTATAACCGCATTCACCATCGGGAGGCGCTATAATAACTCTTGTAGGAGAATTTTGCTTCCACCATCCAAAACAAATAAAGTAATCCAACATGTGCGCCCGATAGCTCCGCCCCTTCCGCTACGTGAGCAAACCTGCAGTCGTTGAGTGCATGAATTAAAGTGCACTTATTATTTTTAGAGTTTTCAGTGTGAACACGCTACTTGCACTATACTACAAAATGGCGTAGAATAGTGCATAAGTATGCGATTTTGGACGCAGCATTCAAAAATGTGCAGAGTTGGTGGTCCTCCAGGAACATGGTTGAAACGCTGTTAAAGAACACAATTTCAGTTCTCTATAGATGTATTAGAGCCGCACGATTAATCGAAAAAAGATTGCGATTTCAATTCGACCCCCTAGACCAGGTGCCCTGCAGGGTTTAGCTCAAACTTGCCTCAACACACCTGTCTGGGTGTTTCAAGTATACCTAGTAAGACCCTGATTAGCTGTTCAGGTGTGTTTGATTAGGGTTAAAGCTAAAATCTGCAGGTCACCGACCCTCCAGGAGCAAGATTGGTAAGCCCTTGCCCTAGACTATCTTTATCCAGCATTTCTTCGATTCTGTCAATCATATTTTCAAGTAGTGAAGCAAAGGCGGCCGCACAAGTTTTTAAATTGGTTTACATGCGTTACTCAGCAATGTGGACACCTCCAAATGGTGTTGAAAGAGTCACATACTGTGTATACAAGGTATAATTCACCCAAAAATGTCATTTCTATCTCAATGTAATGATGTGTTTTCGGCCGCGAAATAATGTGAGCTGACCGTAAGCCGTTACCACAGACAGGGCGGGCGCTTTAGTGAACAGAATCTGCATAGGCTGGGAATAACAGGTGATAAAGTTGTAAATAACATTCAGTTTGTTGCACACAATGATCGTTTGGGAGTCACGCAGGAAATATGAACCGCACTTAGCAGTGAAACCGAAAGCGTGCACATCCTTTAAATGATCATTTCGCATTATAGAGTTATGATTGTGACAAGCATGTAATATGTTTTTCTTTCATAATGAACAAAGAGTGTTGTGCATGAGAACAAATGTTTTACAGTGTCAGTATAACTACTCTAGCCTATATAATGTTGAATATATTGCAAGAGAGACCATATGTATGTCTTATTGTGCAATAATCTGGGGTCAAGCAACCCAATCAGTCGTTAAGCCTGTAATGTCTCTTTACAAACAAACTTTAAAAGTAATGAATCAGAAACCAATTAGATGGCACCATTGTCAAATTCTCAAAAAATATAATTTGTTAAGTTTTGATAGTTTTTTAAAGTTTTTGTTTTAAAAAAAAAACATGTTTAAGTGTATACATGGTCTTGCTCCTAAAGTAGTTTGTGAGTTAATAAATAAATTCAGTAGTTATGGGGCGAAGACTAGAGGGGCAGTAAGTGGGAAACAGAACCGCTGTGGGTCAGTCATCCTTTTCAGTAAAAGGTTCACATCTATGGAATGCCATGCCTGTTCATTTAAAGTTACAATCAGAACTCCGAGTTTTTTTCTGTAAAGCTGAAAGAATGGTTGAAATCTTTACAGCAATGTGAGCTTTAAGCGTTATTCTTTCAGGTTGGTCCCATTTACATTTCTCTTTATCCATATTGACTTGCATCTTATGTTTATGGCTCTGTAAATATTGTACATGTTTGCTGTATTGTGTTTTATTCTTGACTGTTTATTTTATTTGTATTTTTTTTAAATGTAAAGCCTAACCAGGGACGAGGGCTGCAAATTAGCTTTATGCTATATGCCCTATGTACACAACATCGGTTATCTTTGTATAACAATGTCAAGTGTATTGTCCCTGTAAAATAAACAAGCAAATAAAAAAAATAAGTAAAATAATGACAAATGTCTGATTTTACCAGTAGAAAAAAAGGTCTAATAATATTGTCAGTGACAAATGACACACATTTTTCTTAAACATAATAATTTAACTTCAGAATTATGAATAGTTGTTTCATGATGTCATCACTTTACTGTGAATTAACGGCCAGGACAAATTTAAAGTCTGTTCAAGTCCACCATTCAAAGACTATTCAAAATTTAGTATTTTAACCAACAGTAGACCCACACATACTATTATTGTTGTTTCACCATATGTTTGAGTAATAACAATAATAATCATAGCCCACTCATTAAACTTTCTTACATCTATTGACCTTATTCTAAAATGCGGATGTGCACCTGTTTTTGCGATTGTTTTAGAACTTCCGATTCAGTCGCCTATGGGAGAAATGACTAGGAATAATAAACGGCAGAAAACGGTCAAACTACTTGCTCTACAAACAAATGTTTGCATGACTATACAGACCAAGTAGAAAAATATAATAGGAAAATATCAGTTTGCAACATCAAACAGCGAAACAAGCAGTTTTTAATAAAAAATGAATGGAAGTGAATGAGACCGGAAGTCTCGAGCCAAAAGATTCAAATGGCTGCGCCCGCTCGTCGGCGAAGAATAAGGTGAATAGAATCGTGAGTAAATCATGATCTTTATTTTAAGCAGAAAAATCGCGATTCTCATTTTAGCCGGAATCGTGCAGCTCTAATATGTATATTGAGTTGCATTGTCACAGTCCCACTCTTTCTCATTCCAGTGATCCTTGTACATGCTTCAGTAAGACTCCGAAGCCTTAAGAATAAACTGGAGAATAAGTTGGAGAGCATAGGATTGAAGAGGACTCCCATGGGCCTTGTACTGGAAGCGCTGGGACAGGAACAAGAGGCTGGATCATAGCTGTGTACTATAATTAAACTATCGGTCACCACTTCCACACCACAAGTTTTTGTGTGTTTGTGTTTTTTAAAATGAATGTTGTCTTATGAAAGTGCCCCGTGCCCTATTTTATTATCTATACAATACAATTTATAATGCAGTACATAAAGAACAAAAAATGACACTACAGGATCAAGTGTAAATAAGTTGTCCAAAAATAAAACAGCAATATGTAGGTTAAAGGGCAATTTAATCTATTACAAGTATTATTGCTTCATTTTACTGGTTTAATTGTGCCTATCCATTTTTCCACAAATGTTGTCTGAGTAACTCCTTTTGTGTACTGTGTTTAAATAACTTTTTATAAGATATTTTTTTAGCATTTCTCTGACAAATGTTACATGACCAACCATGTTTTTACATGTGCCATGAGGGGCCTACCATACATTTTGTAGGATCTCCCACACCGTGCCTAGGTAAATACTTTTATAGCAACACGTTAGTGACCAAGAATGTATAGTTTGTTTTCAAATGCATTGCACATTATCAATTTTGTTAATAAAGTTTGATCTTAAGTGCCAGTAACAATGGATAAATATACCTATTCCAGATTACGAAAATAAAGAGATTTTTTTTCCACTGCATGTTGAATGTTTACTACATAAGTTGCGTTTTTGTATTTCAGGAAATGATTATTCATAGTAGTGCTTTTAATTCATAAATTATTTGCCAGTCTTTTGATTTTGGTGGCGATTATTAAACCCCAGCCAACCTGTATATTTGGGTCAAACTTGTTGGGCAACATTAGTACTGAGTGGCATGAGCCCACAATTTGCAGAATATAGATGTGTCTTTTCCTTAAATAAGTAAGGTAGCACTTTACTTGAAGGGGTTTACATAAGACTGACACATTGTTTGAATATGAAGGATATTTTATGCATGCTCATTATAACTGTCATTCACTCAAATTTGTAATGTTATTGTCACAATGTAGGTTAAAATGTCTTTGTTTTGACAAACTGACATAAACTTGTACATGATAACCTGTCAGTGTCTTTTTTTCATAACTTGTCATAAATCTGTCATAAACATGATATAGTAGATGACATATCAAACTTAAGAAACCACTTACCTTTATGGCTTAACAATACATAAAATTTGCAAAAGGTAATCATGTGGTTGGCTGATATAAGGCCATTATAATTGTGTCATGAATGTTACAGACGAAATAAAGTTTGTCATTAAATAGTCACTGTGTTAATCTGTCAAATATTTTTATAATAGCATAATTTGTGTTTTTCTTGATCTTAATGCAGTGAATTGAAATTGTTATTAAAAAGACAGTCAGTAATTTTGATGTTGATATGTACCCCCCAAACACAAACTCACAGTAAGAATCTGCTGTTTTAACTTGTATACAAGTTATATACAACTTATATACAAGTTTTGCTAAAAAAACTTTACACTCATGCAGGTACTTTCAACATTACAAAAAATGGCCTTTAGTCTAAAACGAGTGTTGTTCACTGATTAAACATTGATGAAATGCTGCACAGTGGAGAGGAAAACCTAGACATTTACAGAGTTTGTGAAGATGATGCTGTTTTTTCAAAGAGTAAATGGTGCATACAGATTTTAATATATTAAAGAGCCCATATTATACATGAAATAGGGTCATATCTTGGTTGTTAAGGCTGATTTATACTTCTGCGTCAAACGGCGGTGTATGCTACGGCGCTGACGCATATAGCCCTTGCCGTGGCCGTCGGCGTCACTGACGTGCACCTCTCAAAAAATGTAACTACACGTCGCAACAACGCGTAGCGCAAGCTCTGTGATTGGTCGGCTTGGGCTTGGTAGCACTGACGAGTCTGGGCGGGACCGAGAGCCGCGCGAATGGCGCAGGTGATTGTTTACAAGTGTGGAGTCCCGTGAAGGAGCTCCAGGGGGGGGGGCTATTTCATAAAAGTGGTTAAGAAAAGCGGGGATTAAAGTCAAAAGCCTGACTTCAATGAGCCGAACTAAACGTCCACGCTTAAATTGGTTCCATAACAGCAAGTTGAAGATCATTTGATCTGACTAGTCTGAGTTCAGTTTAAATAATCTAGATAACTCCTCATGCATGTTTCTGTCGTGAAAATTAAAAGTCGAGCATAGATACATCGATGGTATTGTGTGCTACCATGGCAACTTCAAGAACTGAAAGAGCTCTGAAATGAGACAGCTGTTCACAGCGAGTGAGCTGCGAAACCAAAGAGCTTAGAATGACATAGGCTATTATTTATTTATTTTTTGCTATTAAGTGACTATAAAGTTTTAATCATTATTAAGAGGTTAAGTGAAATAAAATGGCATCAGAATATGGCAGGTAAATGTTAACATTACTTTGATTAAGCTTAAACTTAAGACTTAGCCTGAAAGTTAGCCTGCTCTAGCATAAGTTGCCAGGGTAACTAAGTTTGAACTATCGTAAATTTGATTTATGAAACCGAATCCGCCATTAATAAACCTGACTTACCAAAATAAGTCTGGCTTTTTCTGTAAGCTTGGTTTATGGAATAGCCCCCAGGGTACAAAGATTCAATTAAGCATCAAAGTGTACCGTCTATTCTTCATTTAAGCAAAACAATCAATCACTCGATTCTGACTCAATTTGCAAAGTTCTTCTCTCTCAACTGACAAGACGGCAAGACGGTGAAGCCTTTCTTGTCCTATCGTGTACCTCAGCCAAGTGTGGAGCTGTCTCAGTACACTGGATGACCGTTCACAATGACAGCTATTAACTGGGATTGTCAGAGATATCTGCATAACCGGTGTCAAGGTTGGGAACATGACTTTATCCAGCAAGTTGAAAACAGATTGTACATCGTTAATTGGAAGGCTGTCCTTTTTGTGAGCCAGATTTTTTAGCCACTAAAACCTAAAATTTTAAATCTACACTGTAATGATCTGCCAGATCTTGGAGGTGCTCCTCGCAAATGTGGCAGTGTATAGACCAATTACCAACCTATGTCACACATGACGTCACACGGGTCCCCGGTTGCAAAAAACAGACAGGCTACAATAGAAAAGATGTCGTGTTTTGCGGTAGGATGCCGAATTCGAGTCCAAAAATGGAAAACTTAACTTTTACCATACACCACACACTGCTTTAATACCGACTGCAGACGTCTTTGGCTAAATGGGAGCTGAATGAAGTGAGGAGCTAATTAGAAATGCTGGACTCTGCAGTTCTCATGTCATATCAGGTCAGTTCACGCTATGCTGAATCATACTCATTACTCGTTTTTGATTGCAGAACTGATTTCAGCAAAAACAGTTACATATAGTTAATTAAACTGCTGACACTGAATGCTAAGAATGAAACGTGAAAGTCACGTTTATTAAGGTAAACTTAGTTTTATATTCACACATTTATTCAGTGACAATTTGTGACACACTCCCTATATTGTTTACCACGTGTTGTGTAAGTTGAATATTAGACCACTCACAGGCTGGCTGTAACAACGTATGTTTTTTTAATATCAACTTAACTCAGAACATAGCGCTTTCTTACAGCATCGCATGCGTTCCCTTGTTTCCTATCCCCTCTATCATTTCCTTGAGGAACTTGACTGACACTCCTTCTAGCCAATAGGAACATGGAATGTCCTGCTTATATAACATCATTGGCTTAGAGTTAAACACAAACATTACATCCCCTTTCTTTTAAAGTGAGACAACAAATAATGTATGACAGATAATGAAAAATTAAGTTTCCCAAAAGGCATGAACACCCATATGTTACTGAACTAATACAATAAAACGACACTTGCATCACAAGTTTGAATAAACTAAAACTGTCACACATGTTAATAAAATTTGCATTACCTTTTAAATGCACTGAACATTTCACTGAGTTTCTCAATGGTTCACCTACATACTTGTACCATTAAAGATCCAGGATAACTCTAGGCTTAATTTGTCTTCCAGATCTGGTTCTGTAAATGGTAGCTTCGGGAAGTTCATCAGTGTGTTTAGGTGTATGTGTAGAGTCACTGTGTAAGGAACTGTCAGTTGAAGTTGAACATGGTTCAGCACCATCATGCAATTCAGATTCTTCCAGGCTGTTGTTTTGTGACTCTTTTGTGTCCAGGAGATGCCGTCTGTTCCGTCGGTATTCGCGTCCATCAACAGTACGCACATGATATGATCTTTCAGTGTTCGCTGTTTTGATGACCACAGCTGGCTTCCAGTATCCTTGCTCCTGTACTCTAACGGTCTGTCCTTCCTTGAGCTGGGACAGGGGTCTAGATGACCTGTCATAATAGTTTTTCTGATGCTGCTGTTTTTGCACTCTCTTTGTTTTGACGTCTTTAATGCTTACGAGCTTTGGCACGAGCTGCTGGTTGGTAGTGGGCAAGGTTGACCGCAAGCGGCGACTCATCAATAGTTGAGCAGGAGACTTGAAACCATCAACAGGGCTGTTGCGATACTCCAGCATGCTGAGGAAAGGATCGCCTTTGCCAGCCTTTGCCTTTTCCAATAGCATCTTAGCAGTATGCACGGACTTCTCTGCTAGCCCATTACTTTGTGGGTAATATGGGCTTGTGGTAGTATGTTTGAATTGCCATGTTCTTGCAAATGTTTCAAATTCACTTGAGCTGTACTGGGGGCCATTATCTGATATTACTGCCTCTGGGATGCCATGTCGTGCAAAAGCAGCCTTGAGTTTGCTTATCACAGAAGCTGAAGTTGTGGTCTGGAGCTTGTCTAACTCAAAATATCTGCTGTAATAGTCCACTGTCACAAGATAGTCTTCATTGTTCCAGGTGAACAAATCAGTGGCTACTATTTGCCATGGCCTATCTGGAATTCTGTGACTAATCATGGGTTCTTTGGTGTTGGAAGGCCGGTATGTGAGGCAGATTGTGCATGTGCTGATCATATTTTCTATTTCTTTTCCCATTCCAGGCCAGAACATAATGTCTCGAGCCCTTTGCTTACTTTTTTCAATTCCAAGGTGACTGGCATGTATACGTGACAGCATGTCAGAGCGAAGGCGTGTGGGAACGACAATTTTCTCTCCTTTGAAGATTATACCATTCATGTACGAAAGCTCGTCACGATGATTCCAGAACTCTGAAATGCTCTGAGGACACTTTCTTTTCTCCTCAGGCCAGCCTCTTTGAATCACCTGCTTTAGTGTCTCGAACTGCAGGTCTTTTCCGGTGTGATCCTTTATTTCCTCAAGCCTTGAATCGCTGACAGGAAGACTGCTGAATACAGTGTGTACCTGAATGTCCATACCTTCACTGAGGCCCGTATCATGGTCATCCAGTGACTTTCTTGACAATGTGTCTGCAACAGGGATGCTCTTGCCTGGTTTGTGTACGATTGTGAAATTGTACTTTTGAAGCTGAAGTATCATCCTCTGTAGCCTTGGGGGTACAGATGCCATGGGCTTTCGCATTATTGACTCAAGCGGTTTGTGGTCACTCTCAACAATGACTTGTCGGCCATAGATATACTGGTGGAAGCGCTTGCAACCAAACAGTATCGCAAAAAGCTCTTTTTCAATTTGAGCATAATTGATTTCGCTTTCAGATAGAGACTTTGATGCATATGCAATTGGTCGTCCATCCTGCAACATCACAGCTCCAAGCCCATATTTTGAGGCATCAACCTGCAGACTGAGCTCTTTGAGAGGATCAAAATATGCTAAGACTGGACCTGGTTCACACGTGAGTAGCTCTTTTATTTTCTTGAAAGCATTATCTTGTTGGGTATCCCAAACAAACTCACTTGACTCCTTAAGGAGCTGACGCAGTGGCGCATTGACGTCAGAAAGACCAGGCGCAAACTTGGAGAGGTAGTTAATCATACCTAATACTGTTTCAAGTTCTCCTTTGTCTTTGGGTGGTTCCATGTCTCTTACAGCAGCTACTTTTGCTGGGTCTGGCTTTACGCCTTCTGCTGTGAGGAGATGTCCAAAGTAGCTTACCTCTGTGGCACAAATGATGCATTTTTCTGGATTGAGCTTGACACCTCTCTCTCTGGAACG